CCTCGAACACTTCAAACAGTTTTGTTTGACGAACTGACGACAGGCACATTTAGGAACTTACTCGTATTTGATTTCTATCCTAAAATAATGCTGTCTCTTTTAATTCTTGGCGAAGAATAAATTATCACTTGGTGGCTTACAGTTTAACCTCAAAAAATTTTCATTTTTCCCCTTCAAGTCAAAGACCTTTAAATTCTGTAGCCATTGTAAAATAACTCTCATGAGATCATCTGTTTAAAGCGTTGAACAAACGGTGTAAAATGATGTTTGGTCGTAACTGCTGCTAGTTCTACGTCGACGAAGACCTTTGAATACTCGCTAACTTCTCCGTGAGTTCGTTTCTCCACTTTCCTCTGGTTTCTGTATAAAATTCAAACTTTTAGCGGCTGTATATTGCCCAGAGATAAACATAAAAGAGTACTGATTTCCAAGTAGAGTCAAAATGGATTCCAAAGCGGAAATTACCACTTGTCGCTTTTAGTAAATATTTATGTCATATACAAAAAAATTATATCGTTTCCTGTGGGAAGACGCACTGTAGTTATCGGCATGTGGTTCTTGCACTACGGCACGATGCTTTTCGTGAAAAGTTCACTCGTTTCGCGTTTCGCGATTCACGCTTCTCGTTTCAGTCCTACACTGCATAAAATCGTCTGTATAAGGAGCCTTCCTCAGGTCGTACACAGTCAGTATATCTATTGGTATAAGACAAATACAAGGATGCGGCAGGATGTATAAGGTCCGTATAATGATCAGTATATTTCAGGGCTGGCCAAGAAAAATACCAGGATCTTATACACTTGTGGCAGGATTCCTTATATGTCATTATACATGTCAGTATACATCATGTATATACTGTGTGAAACAGAAGGTATACTGGCAGTTGCGGCAGGATTCCTTCTTTGTCAGATCAAATGTCAGTATACAGTACGTATACTGGGAGAATCAAGGGGTATCTGAACGTGGCATGGACGGGATGTGTACTGATTTCGTATATCTTATGGACAATGACCCCTGGTTTTTAGC